AATATTCAAAAACAATAGTTATTATAAAATAGAAAGAATAGTAATTAATTATTACTTTTTTGTTTCAAAATAATTATTTTTTGAAAAATTATTTAGGGACAAACTTTTTATATTGTATTTTTTTATAACTTTATATATTATTTAAATAATTGATCATTTTTATTCATTTAGGACCTATAATATTAAGTACATCTATTCATTTAATGATATATGAGAGTTATATAAAAAAAATGATACAAAAAAATTATCTCTATATCACATTCCTTAATGTTGTTAACTCAAAATTTGCCCTAACAACTAATTGTCATTTATTGTTTTTTTAAGGTATATAAATACTGTAAATTTTTTTCAACTTCAATCTTATTATTATCAATTAATTTTAATTGTCATCTTATCACCAAAATTTTTATAAAGTGGGTTAATGTTTTGATTATCTTTATTTTTTATTAAAAATAATATAGATAAAAACATAAATTAACTACATTATATGTAGATAATTAAAGTTAATTAGGTGGCGCTACATTATAGGTACAAGGAGGTAGACTTAATTAAAATGACACCAATAAACAGCCATAAATTGACTTGGTTTCTTCCACAAAGATTAAAAAAATAAAGAAAAAGAAGAAGAAGAAAAGAAAACGTAATCTGAGCTTCTTTCCTGTTAGCATTTCACATGCCTGAAAAAAGTGGAAACAGTTTCTTCCACTTTAAGCCCATGTTTCCCATGTTGTAGCGGAGAGATTATCCATGCACTTTAACAAGGATGAAACAAGATATTAAGAATGCAATATATATTATATTTAAAAGTGAATTGGCAAATGTACAAAATTACTTTCATGATTTCAGATGTGATCAAATCTTTGTCTAATCACCTGACAGCTCATCATTGTTAGTGGCCACCGCCGGCCCCCGGCCCCCGGCCCCATTTATGATTTATCACGAGGGTGGATAGGAGGAAATTTATTAGTGATGGTGAACCCATTTACCAGGAAGGAGGTCCAGAGGAAAACTTATGGTATGTCTCTCATCCGTCATCCCATGGGGTGGAAAACCTACCTCCTCCAAAAAAATAATAATACTACTGTAGTATCACTAAGTCCATGGGTTATACAATAATACAAAGTCAAATAAGCCCAGTCCAATGGCCTCCAATCCATCTGACCAAGCCATATTAGTGCGCAACCCATTTTAGCCTCTACCGACTAGGGCTGAGTATTGTGTATGATATGTATATGTGATATTTGTGAGTATCTAATTTGTTTAAGTAAATATTTTATTTGTATTTAAAAAGAGAAAGTTAAAATTTGTTTATCTGCAAATATAAGTATTCATGTACGTTTTTATATGTATGAACTTGTATTTATATTTAAATTTATATATTTTGTTATAAATATAAATTTATGT